AATAACTTTGTGCATATGTGGCCACCACAGGTATCGAGATACGTCCAACATGGCTTCTTGTCCTGGGTGGCCTCGGTGAATTCGTTTCAACACTGCAGGATGCAGTTATCCTGGAACGGCTAATCTTCTATCTACTATGATGCAATCGTCTACAACGGCCATTTGATGCCAGAGTGAATTCGTATAGGGCCCCATCATTTCGAATGAATGCCGATCTTTCCGTTCTATCACTCTCCTTAATCTATCCATCCATGTATCCTCCGTTGTTAACTCGGCAAGTAGGTTTCGGTCGAAAAGTTTCGACAGATTGTGCAGGTTATTGTCTTCTAGTTGTTCTGCTTGTCGAAATTCTTCTTTTCTGGACTTCCTATCGCTCTTCCGTCCTCCAACTAGACTAATCTCAGGGCTTGATATTGGGCTGTCGGCCGTAAGGTCCATTTCTATAACTTTCACATCGTTTCTTTCTGGTATGTTCTTCTGTGGACTGGACATTTCTGTTGACGCTTTTAACTCCAGCAAACTCCCCGGTATCACTTTGTCTGCATGTTCTGACCCAACTAAATCCCAGAAGGAAATTAGCCTTTTGGGATCTGGTTGTGGAGTCCCTGAAGGTGTTGGTAATGAAGTTGATTGTCCTGATTCCCTTCTCTGATTAACGATATCCATTTTCCGCCATTCAACCTGTGGCATATCATCCTCTGAACTGTCTGATTCGTATCCTCGTTGTACTGTTCTCGTTCTCCGATATGTCGTTTCCGTCACTTGTTCCAGCATTTGATCTCTGTTTCTTTCTCGTTCTACTATTTTCACTGTCTTTCTCGGTTTTCCTCCATTCTGCTTTTTCTTTCTAGATATTCTTGTTTTCTAGTATCGTCGACCGACTGTTTGCAATGAGAAAACTTGCTTAAATTGTTTGGCTCACAATTTGAGAGACTTGAAATTGGACCGTTTTTGTTCCGGTCGAGCCGTGTTCGTTTTTGAACCGCACGTTTGCTATATCAGCCGTGGGATGACTTATCGTTTAATTCATCCAATGTGTCTCTCAATCGAGAATGTTCTAGAATATTTTCATTCTAATTTGTGTTTACTGTATCGTTTAGCCGGCTGCTTAAGCAGTCGAGTGCTTTATGGAAACATTCAATCGATGCTACAACGAATTTTTCATCTAAGTTTGTCTCTGGCCACGGTTCTCCGTTTGGCTCTCTTGACATGTAGTCCACAATTCCCATGTCTTTACCTGGTTTATGTACCACTCTAAATTGGTAAGGTAGTAGTCTATCTACCCACCTAGTAAGTCGGGATTGGTACCTTTTGTTAGATTTATATTCTCCTGGTGCTGATGTATGAGCTTTTTGGTCTGTAGCCAGAATGAATTCTTTCCCCAGTAGGCAGTGTTTAAATATATCTACCGCCCAAACTACTGCGAGCAGTTCTAACTCGTTTGTCGAATACTTCTTTCCTTGAGCGTTAAGATAACGTGAAGCGAACGCAATAGGTACCCATTCGTCATCTGTTTTCTGTTCTAAAGTTGCTCCGAGACCACTGTGACTTGCGTCACACTTCACCCGAGTATTTTTTTTTTCAAAGAGTGCTTTTTACCCCTTTCAAATTTTTTCACGGGCAATTTTTTATTTTTCAATTTTTTCTCTCGTTTTCTTCTATTAACAAAGGTCTGAGCTGATCGGTTAAGCTCGCAGCGTTAGGAATGAGTTTAGAAAGATGGTTAATACTACCCATAATCGATCTCAATTGTTTTAGAGACTTCGGGTGTTGAAGTTTTAGTATTGCCTCTGTCTTGGTGATTTTTGGTGTTATTCCTTCTGAGGTAAGTTCGTGACCTAACCAGTTCACTTCTGGTTGAAAGAATGCGCATTTTTTCAATTTAAGCGCTAAATTTTCATTATCCAATTTCTTTAAAACGTCGGTTGCTAGCTGTTCATGTTCGTGTTTTCCCCCTTTGATACAATCAGAATGTCATCCAGAAATCAGAAAGTTTATTTCGCATGATTTAGTGTTCGATCCATGGCTTTTTGAAATTCTGCAGGCATGTCTGCTAATCCATAGAACCCGGTTAGAAACCTATATGTTCCTGTTGCCTGCCCACCCACTATGTTAAAGTTACACTGCTTAGCTGTTTCAGCATTTGACTAATTTGACTATAAGCGTATTTCAAATCCAATACCGTGAAATACAACGTACCTGCTGTATTAGCAGGTACTATTTGGCTTACTCCATCCAGTAATTCGTCCACATTCGGCATCTGATATTTGTCGTTATAAAGTTGCCTATTTATGTGTTTTGCATCTAACGCCAATTAAAAGTTAACGGAATCGTCTTTCTTTACGGTAATTACTATCGGAGCCATGAAACAGTCATTTGTGCTTTTGTCAAGTTTTGTTATATGACCTTCTGATAACCACTTCGATGATTCGGCTTGCACTTTTTCATGTATATGTATAGGAATCAACCTACCTTTTTCTTGAATGGGGCACAGTGGGTATTTGAATTTTGTGTTCACCTCGTGATTTTTGATGCCCCTTTTCGATCAGATAGGGACGGGAATTTTTGGTAAAATTGATGTTTCATACCATCTGACTGCTCGCACAGTAGCACGTCAAACCTGGAGTTTTGTGACGGTGCAGACTTCTGTGACGTCTGTATCCCCAATTTCCTTGTAAATCTAATCCCAGAATACATCGTGCTCGGCGTTCTGTCACTAATAACGATGCGTCTGTCACTTCCTACCCCGCCGGCCGACCTTATACTAGTATATAATGCTCCGAGTATTTGAATTGGTTGCTTGTTATAGTCAACAAACTGTGTCGACAGGTTTTGTTCTTCAGCGGGGATGAATTTTATCTTTGGAGCTCCCACCATCAGTGTTTTTGCTGTTGTCCAGTTCAGAAATGATACTGGACTTCCCGGATCGATCGTCATATTTATAATATGTTTGTCGATTCTTACCAACGGTTTCAACGCTTTTATTTGGTGTGATTTTGGATCTCTCCAAATGCCAATTTTTCGAACATCCTTTGTATCACATGGTTGTCTTTGACTCCTGATATGATTTTTCCAATTTTTCCAGGTGAATCATGTAATCTAGGTTCGACCACCATGATTTCAAACTCCTCACAGGAATCAAAACTGTGAATTAAGTTGCACCCTTCCTCTGAGCTAGAATTTTCTTCTGCAATCTCGTTCACTTGATTCGATCGACACATTTTCGCAAAATGGTTTTGCTTATTATAGCTTTTACATGTTTTCCCATAGCTGGGCAAGTTTTCAGATGTCCTTCTCCAAATGTTCTGCCACGTCTTTGTTATCGTTCCATTTGTTTTTGAATTGATCTCGATTCGACCTCCTGTAATTCTGATTTTTATTTCCAACTGCCATAGAATTGTCCCCCAATTGAGCTTCCCACTACCGATTTCTGAAACGCTTGTGTCGTTTGCTTGCTTTGTTCAAATTTAATAGCTCGTTTGAGTACTTCATCTGGTGCGAAAGTTTCAAAAGTCAATGTATCTTGAAGTGCAGTATTCTCCATTCGTGATATGAATAGATCTCGCACCAATTCTTCCTCTAATCCGCCCAATTCGGCCGTAGCTGCTTGTGCAGTTAAAGCCGCATGAAAAGACTCCAAAGTCTGTCCGGATTCTTGTGTCCTGGTGAATAATCTGTATCTCTCGTACTTAATGTTTTTCTTCTTTTCAAATGATACTTTAGCCAATCTCACCATATCTCTGAATTCAAGTTTTGATATTATTTCAGTATGTGGATTTTTCTGTACACATTTTTTCTTTCCTTCTGTGCCTAACGCCAGAAATAGACGAGACGTAAGTCGTTCTTGAACTTCGTTGTAAAACACATTATGTCCAACATTGGGTCCTCGTTCCCTTCTCTCTTCGTTTTCGAGTAATACTCTGTCTCTTCTTAGTCTCTCTCTCGCCTCCCAATCAGTAACTGCCTGAGCAGTTTCTTTTTCTCCTGGGGTTTCAGGGCGGGCATCGGCTCATCAATGACTTCTTTCGGTTCTTCTAGTAATATCTCAGGATTCACACTTTCTTTGACCGTCACTGCTAGCATAAATTGATCCAACCAAATTTTGAAATTCCATGGTGGATCTGAGCTAGCTGAGGTCCAGAACACTGGGATACCCATGTCCATTCGGTTATCCTGTGCAATGAATCCTGCTGGCTGCGCCATGTGGTAAAGTGATATAATGCTATAAGCTCAATTGAAAATGATATAGTCTCAAAAGTTTAATTCAACCTGAAACTTTGTTTTCTTTCAAGAAATACGGTTCCGTGAACCAGCTCTATAACCGTATCTTGGTACGCAGAGCTCAACAACTAACTAAGGTCTAACCAGCGATCAGTACTGCATGACCTTGACATAACTTAATAACAATATATAAAATTACAGATACCGATATGCGTTCCAAGGTTAGTGTGCAGCGAAGTTAACATGGTTACTACACATGCAGTAAGTGCTGTACCACAACCACCAAAACATCAGCACTCAGCTTTTGTTTCATGATTTATATAGAAGAGTTATGTTTCACATACCACTGGATTCTTTCAACTAACATAAAGGGATCTCTACGAAACTTTTGTTTCGTGATAAATCTTTGTGTTCAGATGAACCAAAGAGTGAAAAGACATCTCAATATTACAGATTTTTGACACAAAAAAGGATTAGAATCAATTATAACAGATTGTAACAAGTTATAAGAGGTTATAAGAGATTATAAGAGATTTTCGGAAAAATTATAATCAACTGTAATTGATTATATTATTTTATAATGTCACAAAAATGGTTATCAGTATAATTGATTATAGATTGTTTAAACATCTAAATTTGGCGCGTATAATTAATTATAAATTTTATAAAATCACAATTATAATTGTATAATAAAAATGATTATTTCCTTTTTTTACTGAGTGCGGGTGGTTTTTTCTATGCCCTACAGAATTCACACCAAAAGGCTATAATATGTTAAGATACATGGAGGAGCGACTGGTGGGACTGGAGAAGAGAATAGATGGACTTGAGGCATTCCGGGAGAACGTTGTCCACTCCACCGAGCGAGAAGAGGACCAACAGAAGTGAGTGTATTACAGTACGCTATGCTACGCCCCAGCAGCACTCTGTCTCTTTAAACCTCTTTTCCGGTCGACTACTTATGAAAAAAATGACTATCATTTTTCCATACAAACAAAGGCTGTGAAATTCTGCAAATTAGTTTGAAAGTTATTTTGAACAAAAGGGTAGTTGTTTTGTTGCTTGTTTGACTTTTTTTGTATAGGAAATTACTTACTTTAGTACAATTTGCATTAGAAGAATTGGATGATAACAATTTTTGCATACACAATCTCTAAAAATGAGGAAAACATTTAAGTTCTCATTTCAATCGCTAAACCAGTTTTACGATCATATAAATATTGATCCAAAAAAACTTCTGATCCAGTCTTCTTACACAGAAGGCTCAAAGATCATCATGAACAATTTCTGCGATGTTTCAATTTTTTTTCGGTTTTAGACAACAGCATGTAAAATAATAACCTAAATATGTCCAAAAAGTAGGCCACAATTTGTCAATCTTTGATTTTTTCTGTATAGAGGCCAGTAGTAAGAAAGTTAATCACCCCGCCCTTAGAAAACCGAGACTTTTAGCATTTACCTTATTCAAGGGGCGGCGCAAAAGATTATGTTTGAGCCTGCTTTTTCCGAGTGTTAATTTAACCATATTGGAACACCCGAGACCAATAAATGACATCATGCCGCAAAATAAATGTTTCTGATTGGTTCAAAATCGGATGCATCAAAGAACGAAAATATTTACAGAATCATGTCGCAGAAAACATTCTGATGATAATTCAGAAGTTTGATGAATCAAATTTTACCATTTTACAACAATTCATATGTCGCGAGCTGAGAAACGTGATATTCTACCGTCATTTATTTGTTTATTTCAGCTCTGGAAATCCGTTTTTCAAGTTTGAATTTCAGATTATTTCAAAGATCATAATGAATGATAATCAATGAAATTAAAATGGTTTGATTTAAGTTTCCTTTTACATAAAAAAGCCTAAAATATCAAATTCCATCGGGAGGAGGTTCAATTTCTATCTGAATATATCATTTTATTTTGAGAAGTTTAACAAAAAAACAATTCGAAAAAAAAAATTAAGTATAGATTTTTATTACAAGTTTGATTTACTAAAAAAATCTGGAAATTCTGGTTAGTTGTTCAACTGCTCACACTTCGCAAAAGTGAAATTTAGCTTGTTGAAAAAAATGCTCTTCTGCTCTGCTTCAAGAACGTTTCTGACGTTTGCTAGGTAGTCGATCTTCGAGAGATTCGAATTCAATGAAAGAACAACTCGGAAAAGGTTTCTGTCTAACAGGTGCGTCCCTGTCAACAACATGCTCTTCGTCACTGCTTTCATCCCAGGTGCGAGCAAATCCAGGGTCTGGGACTCGAAATGTGTCATCAATTTCACAATCAGAAGTCAGCCTGCTCGTTTCCTGTTCAAAATCGCTAACAAAAAATTCTTCATTGAGTCTATCATTATTTGGTAGATTAGCCATGACTGCAGTAGAAGTTGATTGATCATTGTAACAATTTGTAGTGACCGTAAGCTAAAGGCTGCAAACCATCGGCTTTGTAAAACCGCCGGTTATTGTAGGCAGACAAAATTATCTAGTTAACTTCACTGATTGACAAAATGGCTTTCTGATGTAATATTTTTCATAAGCTCACGTATGGCATTTTTCCCGAACAAAACAGATTTTTATTTTTCATGATGTAACGTTAACGTTGTTCTAACTGAACTGGTTACAACTTTTGTACTTTTTTGTTCTGTTCTTGTCTCCATCGATATACGCAATTGGGCATGTTTTCGGTTTCAAAAAAATTGCCTCCGAAAAAATATTTCTGTTTAATTGAGGAGAGCTTTTCTATTCTTTTTGCTTAAAAGGGATGGTTCTTCGGTTAAACACTGAAATCCCCGTGATCTTTAAAATTATTCATGTCTTTGTAAATATCTTTTGTATATACTTCGTAAAAGAGAGAATCAGTATCTCTATAAAGGACTCTAGCGTTTTTCCTAAAAAAGAACTACTTTCTCATAATGGAAATTGTACGACTGTAGTTTGAAAACGTTGGTTTGTTCCATTTGATACATTTTTTCAACAAAGTAAAAGCAACAAAATCCTCTTTGAAAACTTTGAAACGATTAAAATTGAGTTTGTAGCAATAAAATTTTGCTTGTTCCTCATCTGAAACCATAATCAGGTTCTTCCATCGTCTCAACTTTTCCATAGATTTACTAAAGCAGGAGTTGATCAAAAGCTTAAAGAAACTTTTTTTGAAGACATATATACCTGGTTGTTGTCTAAGCCATGTATTCGTGTCTATGTAGGGTTTCAAAAAATTTGACTGGTTGAATTGAAGAATTTTTGTTATTTTCGATTTTTACAAACCCTGCGCGAGAAAAAACTTGAGCCTTGTGTAATGGCAAATGTAATCTTTTTCGTCAAACAACATTTCCAGCAGTTTTTCCGTTGATGATCCCTTTAAACTAAAATTAAGTTGATAGGGTGACAATAACTCTTCTGAAGTCTTCATCTTTTGGGATCCCAACGGAAAATTGTTGTGATTTTTGTGCAGATAGTGTGAATATTTCGAATCAATCATCACAAAATAACCCTCCTCATATTCATCTGGTGTGTCTAAGACTTCATCGATGGTTTTTTCCGTCCTTATAAATCCTCCTGTCGGTATATGTTTCATCATAGTTCCACCACAAAAATTAACAACGTCCACGAAAAGTCCGTATTATGAAGGTTGGGTTTCGTCAAATTCAGGAAGTTATCGATTGTTAGCTTTCAAATATCTCTTCTCTGCTATTTTTTTCAGACCTTCGCGAACAGTTTTTTCACAAAACAATAATTAATCAACATTGGTTAGTACTTCGAGTTCAACGTCAGTGGTCTTCAACATTGCGTTCCACGATAAGTTTGGAGCTGAATCATAGTAATTCTGATCTAAATCAAATGTTTCTCTGAAAATATTTCGAAAGTTCTCAAAAACATCTACTAACACAAAAACATCTGTCGTTAAGTACAAATCATGATATTCTCCCATATTGATGCATTTTGAGTGGGAATCTATGAAGGAAGAAGGGCAAACACCTTTTTCATCAAAATTTTTTCTGTTCAAGTGAGTTTCTAGAAATATTTAGAGAGCTTCCTCAAACTTTCAGGAAGAAATCGAAAGCTGTCGAGAAATCACATTTCCTCATATTTTGTGTTGAGTATCCTTTTTATGTTCCGGTAGCTTCCCACGGGTCAAATTAGCTTTAAAACTGTAGATTTTTTCGTTGCATAGTACAACGGTAAATCTCTCACCATGTTCTAGCCGAATACACCGAGTCGAATGATGCGCATCAAACCGACTTAAACAAAAACACTGAGGTGAAAGACTGTGTCCTTTGACGCAAGTTGCGGTTGTTGTGTGGCTGTATGATCATGATGAACAACTTTGTCATCGCGCAAATTTTCATTGCAAATTAATCATTTTTTAATTTTTGAGAATAATTTCTGCCTATTCTTAGTTGCAATTTGGAGTTGTCTGTGTTTGCTTCGTTTGAGATAAAATTTTGGCTCGGAGACGTAACCAATCAGAAAATTTCGGAATGCAATCAGGTCCCTGTTCGAATTCGTATTTTGTTTGTTTGGTGGTTCTATCAACTAGAACTGCACCGAATGAACAAGCTTCTTGTTTTTCCAGATGAATTGTACCAGCCTTAATTGGATCCAATCTGCTTGTTAGTTGTTTTTGACACAAGGCTTCGGTGTCTGCATAAATAATGAATGGGCACATTGAAGTTTTAAACCAATGCTGAAATTGAACTTTCGAAGTTTTTCAGAGCGTTTTTTATTGATACAGCGTCATGTATACCGCATAGTTTCAGATGCTCCTTCAACCGTTCTTTTGAAGAAAATCCATGCAAACATCTTTCACAAAACTGACTTCGGTTGCTGCTATGATCATCAAACTGACGTGCCATGAATGCATTGAAGTTTGTTATAAGACAGAAACGGAACATAACTCCATCGCATATTAGCAATAGGTTAATGCGCTTGGATCTTCTTTTTGACAAGAACAAGAGTACACTATCGTTCTTATCCAGTCAAAAAACAAAAATCAGTTATCCATTGACGACCTCAAAACGTTGAATATCGGATAAACAAATACTGGAAAATTGGATGTAAATCGATTTAAAATTAATTGGGATCAATGTTTTTAGCTGAGACTTAAGATCATTTAAATCGTTTTTAAATTGATCCAAGTCAATCTTGATCTTTTTTTTTCATTCTTCTTACTTTTTTCATAAAAAAATCTATCTTAATTTAGTTCAAGTGCTTTTTGTTACTAAAGTCGATCCTCATCCATTTTTTTCAGTGCGGGTATGGCAAAATCTTTAAATAGCTACCACAAAGTGAATTGTAATGAATTGAATTAACAATATGCAGATATACTTTTTACTTGTTCGATAGTTTTTACTGCATATAATTTTACTGTTTCGCACAGGGCAACTACAAATGTTTTAAGTCTGACAAGTAGGGAAGTACTGAAATTCAATCCTGATAGTCTGAAAACATCAGAGCTCGAACACGACAGTCAGACCGTAAAAGCAAGCACAACCTCGAGCTTGTCACATTCACTCTGCACGTCAAAGATAGCCTGTCTCGAGCTTTTGTTTTATTTTGATCAGGCCGTCGCGGTCGAATTGTGATTTTTTTCCAGATCTTGATGAGCTAGGAAATGTATTTCCAACCGGCATGACCCAGAAAAGAAAAGACATGCTCGACCGACTGCTGACCCATACAGATTGCTGACGCAATTACTGTCGTCATGTTGAACCACTCAACAGTGAAAAAAAATTTTTCCACTTTTTTCAGACAGTTCGAAAGTGTATCCTTAAAACAATTTTACGCCTTGCTCGATTTGACACGGCGCTTCTGCATTTTCATGTTTTGCGTTTGAAAAAAAAATCAAAATTAAAATCCTTCTCGCCACACAATTTAAGCAGTCGGAAAAACAAAATGCAGTCGGTTGATAACTATATAATTGACTAGCAAGAGAGGAAAACTCCGTTTGATTCACAAAAAAGTTTGAGCCCCTTTGATTTACCGTTCTTTTTACGTAGCATTTTGCAGGAGGTCAGACATTTACTCAATATCCTTTTATATTTTTATAGGTTACATCCAGTCTCTTTCATTCAAATTTAACTTTTTCAATAAGAACTTATTACATTGATTAAGTGCGCATGCATCGAATTTTTATGGGTAAAAATTGACTAAAGATTGTTTTCGTTGACTAAAATTTTGTCTAGATGATCGATCCTTGTAGTATTTTTTTTAAAACGTAAGGGATTTTTAATCCAATGTAATAGACATGTTCGAAAAAAAATAATCCGTAATCGACTAAACTTGATTTCATTTTATCAGTATAATAGACTTTTTTGGTCAATAAATCTACAAAAAACAATAAATTTTTGTAGGTGTGACTTGTTTAGTCATGATTTTGTACCGTTCGGCAAAAAAACAAAAAATTTTAGCAAAAACTTATCAAACGTGCTCAAAATTACCATATTGGAACCTGATCTAAACTATATTTTATGATTGGATAAATTAGATATTTTACCACTGTAAAGTATTTAATATTAACCAATCATGATCCATCTAACTAACAACCCACTTATTTGTAAGTGCTGAAAATACTTGTAATTTCAGCACCAGAGAGATTTGAATTTAACTTAGAAATTAGTTGTCTCTCCAAGAGAACTTCAGCAGCCGCAATAAACCAGTATACTCTAGATCTATTGAGCCTAGCAGAGACTAGTTAAACACCCTGAGACTAGAAAGTATAAGAGTAAGATTAGGATCGGTATTAGACTAAGAAGTTGCACGAATCTATCCGGCCGAAAATAAGATAGCGTGACGAGCAGACGGTGTACCCTATCCGAAATTACTCTATGAGTTTACCACATCGGTTATAACTCATCTGGTGCGACCATAAGTCTCGAATAAGACCTTAATAGTTTAGATTTAAGCAAAAATTGATTAGAATTTAGACAAAACATTTTTAAAATGTTATACGATAATAATTTAATCGAATGGTCTCTACGACTCAATAGATCAGAGCCGCTATTCCGAACTATAACAGAACTAACCGGAATTGTAAGAAGACCTCCAACAAGAGACGACATACGACAAGGCAGAAACTTACCATATAGTTTTATGATTGTACGGCAAAAACCAACACAAACTTTTATATTTAGAATCTTATTAGCAATGAATTTAGATTTTCATTTGCAAACATAAAATTTTGAAGTCAATCTTCATGATCATTTCAGGCGCTAAACAAAATTATTAATATACAATAACGATTGATAAAAAGATCTCAGATCATTTTCTTAATTTCTGCAGTCTTATATAAAACATGTTTGAAAATCATTTATTGAAAATCAAAATAAAAATTAGTAGCATGACAATAAATTGTTAGTAATCAT